CCACCAACTCACCCACTCACTCACCCACCCACTCACTCACCAACTAACCCACCCACCCACCCACTCACCTGTGCCTCCACCTTCTGGTGAGGCTTCACGGACCCAGGCTCACACATCACCAACTAACCCACTCACCCACCCACTCACCCACCCACCCACTCACCTGTGCCTCCACCTTCTGGTGAGGCTTCACGGACCCAGGCTCACACATCACCAACGAACCCACCCACCCACCCACCCACTCACCCACCCACCCACCCACACACTCACCCACCAACTCACCCACTCACTCACCCACCCACTCACTCACCAACTAACCCACCCACCCACTCACCCACTCACCCACTCACCCACCAACTCACCCACTCACTCACCCACCCACCCACTCACTCACCAACTAACCCACTCACCCACCCACCCACTCACCCACTCACCCACCAACTCACCCACTCACTCACCCACCCACCCACTCACTCACCAACTCACCCACCCACCCACCCACTCACCTGTGCCTCAACCTTCTGGTGAGGCTTCACGGACCCAGGCTCACACATCACCAACTAACCCACTCACCCACTCACCCACTCACCCACCAACTCACCCACTCACTCACCCACCCACCCACTCACTCACCAACTAACCCACCCACCCACTCACTCACCAACTAACCCACCCACCCACCCACTCACCTGTGCCTCCACCTTCTGGTGAGGCTTCACGGACCCAGGCTCACACATCACCAACTAACACACTCACCCACCCACCCGCCCACCCACTCATCCACTCACCCACCAACTCACCCACTCACTCACCCACCCACCCACTCACTCACCAACTAACCCACCCACCCACCCACTCACCTGTGCCTCCACCTTCTGGTGAGGCTTCACGGACCCAGGCTCACACATCACCAACTAACACACTCACCCACCCACCCGCCCACCCACCCACCCACTCACCCACCAACTCACCCACTCACCCACTCACCCACCAACTCACCCACTCACTCACCCACTCACCCACTCACCCACCAACTCACCCACTCACTCACCCACCCACCCACCCACTCACCCACTCACCCACTCACCCACCAACTCACCCACTCACCCACCAACTCACCCACTCACTCACCCACCAACCCACCCACCCACTCACTCACCAACTAACCCACCCACCCACTCACCTGTGCCTCCATCTTCTGGTGAGGCTTCACGGACCCAGGCTCACACATCACCAACTAACCCACTCACCCACCCACCCACCCACTCACCCACTCACCCACCAACTCAGCAACTCACTCACCCACCCACTCACTCACCAACTAACCCACCCACCCACCCACTCACCTGTGCCTCCATCTTCTGGTGAGGCTTCACGGACCCAGGCTCACACATCACCAACTAACCCACTCACTCACCCACCCACTCACCCACCCACTCACCCACTCACCCACCAACTCACCCAATCACTCACCCACCCACCCACTCACTCACCAACTCACCCACCCACCCACTCACCTGTGCCTCCACCTTCTGGTGAGGCTTCACGGACCCAGGCTCACACATCACCAACTAACCCACCCACCCACCCACTCACCCACCCACCCACTCACCTGTGCCTCCACCTTCTGGTGAGGCTTCACGGACCCAGGCTCACACATCACCAACTAACCCACTCACCCACCCACTCACCCACTCACCCACCAACTCACCCACTCACTCACCCACCCACTCACTCACCAACTAACCCACCCACCCACCCACTCACCCACCCACCCACTCACTCACTCACCAACTCACCCACTCACCAACTCACCCACCCACCCACTCACCTGTGCCTCCACCTTCTGGTGAGGCTTCACGGACCCAGGCTCACACATCACCAACTAACCCACTCACCCACCCACTCACTCACCCACCCACCCACTCACTCACCAACTCACCCACTCACCCACCCACCCACCCACTCACTCACCAACTAACCCACCCACCCACTCACTCACCAACTAACCCACCCACCCACCCACTCACCTGTGCCTCCACCTTCTGGTGAGGCTTCACGGACCCAGGCTCACACATCACCAACTAACCCACTCACCCACTCACCCACCCACTCACCCACCCACTCACCCACCAACTCACCCACCAACTCACCCACTCACTCACCCACCCACCCACTCACTCACAAACTAACCCACCCACCCACTCACCTGTGCCTCCACCTTCTGGTGAGGCTTCACGGACCCAGGCTGACACATCACCAACTAACCCACTCACCCACCCACCCACTCACTCACCCACTCACCCACCAACTCACCCACTCACTCACCCACCCACCCACTCACTCACCAACTAACCCACCCACCCACCCACTCACCTGTGCCTCCACCTTCTGGTGAGGCTTCACGGACCCAGGCTCACACATCACCAACTAACCCACTCACCCACCCACCCACCCACTCACCCACTCACCCACCAACTCACCCACTCACTCACCCACCCACCCACTCACTCACCAACTAACCCACCCAACCACTCACCTGTGCCTCCACCTTCTGGTGAGGCTTCACGGACCCAGGCTCACACATCACCAACTAACCCACTCACTCACCCACCCACCCACTCACTCACCAACTAACCCACTCACCCACCCACTCACCCACTCACCCACCAACTAACCCACTCACCCACCAACTCACCCACTCACTCACCCACCCACCCACTCACTCACCAACTAACTCACCCACCCACCCACTCACCTGTGCCTCCACCTTCTGGTGAGGCTTCACGGACCCAGGCTCACACATCACCAACTAACCCACTCACCCACCCACCCACCCACTCACCCACTCACCCACTCACCCACCAACTCACCCACTCACTCACCCACCCACCCACTCACTCACCAACTAACCCACCCACCCACCCACTCACCTGTGCCTCCACCTTCTGGTGAGGCTTCACGGACCCAGGCTCACACATCACCAACTAACCCACTCACCCACCCACCCACCCACTCACCCACTCACTCACCCACTTACCCACTCACTCACCAACTAACCCACCCACCCACCCACTCACCTGTGCCTCCACCTTCTGGTGAGGCTTCACGGACCCAGGCTCACACATCACCAACTAACCCATTCACCCACGCACCCACTCACCCACTCACCCACCAACTCATCCACTCACTCACCCACCCACCCACTCACTCACCAACTAACCCACCCACCCACCCACTCACCTGTGCCTCCACCATCTGGTGAGGCTTCACGGACCCAGGCTCACACATCACCAACTAACCCACTCACGCACCCACCCACCCACACACCCACCAACTCACCCACTCACTCACCCACCCACCCACTCACTCACCAACTAACCCACCCACCCACCCACTCACCTGTGCCTCCACCTTCTGGTGAGGCTTCACGGACCCAGGCTCACACATCACCAACTAACCCACTCACCCACCCACCCACCCACTCACCCACTCACTCACCCACTTACCCACTCACTCACCAACTAACCCACTCACCCACTCACCCACCCACTCACCCACCCACCCACTCACCTGTGCCTCCACCTTCTGGTGAGGCTTCACGGACCCAGGCTCACACATCACCAACTAACCCATTCACCCACGCACCCACTCACCCACCAACTCATCCACTCACTCACCCACCCACCCACTCACTCACCAACTAACCCACCCACCCACCCACTCACCTGTGCCTCCACCATCTGGTGAGGCTTCACGGACCCAGGCTCACACATCACCAACTAACCCACTCACGCACCCACCCACCCACTCACCCACCAACTCACCCACTCACTCACCCACCCACCCACTCACTCACCAACTAACCCACCCACCCACCCACTCACCTGTGCCTCCACCTTCTGGTGAGGCTTCACGGACCCAGGCTCACACATCACCAACTAACCCACTCACCCACCCACTCACCCACCCACCCACCCACTCACCCACTCACCCACTCACCCACCAACTCACCCACTCACTCACCCACCCACCCACTCACTCACCAACTAACCCACCCACCCACCCATCCACTCACCTGTGCCTCCACCTTCTGGTGAGGCTTCACGGACCCAGGCTCACACATCACCAACTAACCCACTCACCCACCCACCCACCCACTCACCCACCCACCCACCCACTCACTCACCAACTAACCCACCCACCCACTCACCTGTGCCTCCACCTTCTGGTGAGGCTTCACGGACCCAGGCTCACACATCACCAACTAACCCACTCACCCACCCACCCACCCACTCACCAACCCACCCACCCACTCACTCACCCACCCACCCACTCACTCACCAACTAACCCACCCACCCACCCACTCACGTGTGCCTCCACCTTCTGGTGAGGCTTCACGGACCCAGGCTCACACATCACCAACTAACCCACTCACCCACCCACCCACCCACTCACCCACTCACCCACTCACCCACCAACTCACCCACTCACCCACCAACTCACCCACTCACTCACCCACCCACCCACTCACTGACTCACCAACTAACCCACCCACCCACCCACTCACCTGTGCCTCCACCTTCTGGTGAGGCTTCACGGACCCAGGCTCACACATCACCAACTCACCCACTCACCCACTCACTCACCCCCTCACTCACTCACTCACCCACCCACCCACTCACCAACTAAGCCACCCACCCACCCACTCACCTGTGCCTCCACCTTCTGGTGAGGCTTCTCGGACCCAGGCTCACACATCACCAACTCACCCACTCACCCACTCACTCACCCCCTCACTCACTCACTCACCCACCCACCCACTCACCAACTAAGAAACCCACCCACCCACTCACCTGTGCCTCCACCTTCTGGTGAGGCTTCACGGACCCAGGCTCACACATCACCAACTCACCCACTCACCCACTCACTCACCCCCTCACTCACTCACTCACCCACCCACCCACTCACCAACTAAGAAACCCACCCACCCACTCACCTGTGCCTCCACCTTCTGGTGAGGCTTCACGGACCCAGGCTCACACATCACCATGCCCCGCCTGATGTCGTCACGCTTGAGCCCTCGCACGAGAATTCCCACGTTGTCCCCGGCCTCGGAGCGGTCCAGAGACTGGTGGAACATCTCGATGCCTAGAGAATCACAGAGATATATACACACATATATACACACATATATATATATATACACATATATACACACATATATACACACATATATACACATATATACACACATATATATATACACACATATATACACACAGATACACACATAGATACACACATATATACACACACACAGAGATACACACACACATATATACACACACATATATACACATATATACACACACATATACACACAGATACATACACACACAGATACACACACACACACACACATATATACACACACATATATACACACATATATACATACACACACATATATACACACATATATACACACACATAGATACGCAGAGATACACACAGATACACACATACATACACACACACAGAGATACACACACACATATATATACACATATATACACACACATATATACACACACACACAGATACACACACACACACAGATACACACACACACAGATAGACACACACACACACGTATACACACACACAGAGACACACACAGAGACACACATATATATATACACACACACAGATACACACACACACAGATACACACACACAGAGATACACACACACACATATACACACACATATATATACACACACACATAGATACACACACACAGATACACACACACAGATAGACACACACGTATATATACACACAGAGATACACACACATAGATACACACACATATATACACACACATAGATACACACACACATATATACACAGAGATACACACACAGATACATACACAGAGAGATACACACACACAGAGATACAGTGCACACAGAGATACACACACACACATATATACACAGAGATACACACACAGATACACACATATACACACAGATACACACACACAGAGATACACACATATATACACAGAGATACACACACAGAGATACACACACACACATATACACATATATACACAGAGATACACACACAGATACACACACACATATATACACAGAGATACACACACAGATACACACACACACATATATACACAGAGATACACACACACATAGATACACACAGATACACACACACAGATACATACACACAGAGATACACACACACATATATACACAGAGATATACACACAGATACACACACACATATATACACAGAGATACACACACAGATACACACACACATATATACACAGAGATACACACACACATAGATACACACAGAGATACACACAGATACACACATACAGAGATACACACACACAGATAGATACACACACAGATACACACAAGAGATACACACACACAGAGATACACACACACAGATACATACACACAGATACACACAGACATACACACACAGATACACACACACTGATACAACAACAACAACAACCGCCATTCGCCACTAAGTGGCGGTGACGTCACCACGACGCTTGTGCCAGGCTATGTGCACCCTGAGGCCACGTGAAGTGTCGAACGCCCGCTGGCAGGAGGTCACGGGGCAGACCCAGGTGCCACGGGTCGACTGACTGAGATGACTGGCTGATGCACCACCTGTGCCCCCTACTGTGCCAACCTGCTGTGCTTTAGCCACCCGGCGCTCCGCTCGCTGTTGTGAGCGTCGCTCCTCCGCCCTCCGTTGTTGTTGGAGGGCGACTGCCTCCAACTGCCCAGTAGCATCCTTCACGAGCCTCCTCCACAGAGGCCGATCTTGACACCGCTGGTACCAGTCATCGGCAAGTCCACTCAGCTCCACGTCCTCCTGTACCACATCACTCCATCTCTTCTCTAGCCCGTGCCGCGCCCGCTTAGCCCCCTCAATCCGGCCAAACAAAAGCTGTTTCGGCATGCGGTGGCTGGGCATGCGGGCTACATGACCCAGCCATCGCAGCCTTGCCTGCCGGAGGAGCTCACCGATGGGACCCTGCCCAGATCTTTCAAGGATTTGTGAGCTCCTCACACAATCCAGTCTGGTTAAACCCAGGATGGATCGTAGGCAGGCCAGCCTAAATGTTTCTAACCGGCGAAGATGTTCCATTAGGGGGGTCCACGTTTCGCAAGCGTAGAGAAGGGAGGGAATGACCGTGGCCGAGAAGACCTGAAGTTTAGTGCGGAGCGACAGACCAGGTAGCTTCCACACAGCGTTACGCAACCGATGAAAAGATATTGCCGCTCGACTGATTCGGAGTGAGACCTCTGCTGTTAAACTGGAGCCAGTCATAAGCACACTGCCCAGGTATGGGAAACTCTCCACTCTCTCCACAACTGCCCCATCACCGATTGGGAGTTGTGGGGGTGGAGTGTCCGATGGTACAAAATACCCAGGCAGGTGCTTAGTTTTGGTGGGGCTGATGGTAAGGCCCCACCTCTTAGTGGCACGCTCCAGTCTCAGCAGCAGCGTCTCCAACTCCTCCTCTGACTGAGCAGCTATTACCAAGTCATCAGCATACATAACGTGGTTGAGCAATAGGGAGCCATCCCTTGACCGCACCCGGGCATCGATTAGCCTCCCATTATATCTGTACCATATGGAGATTCCCCCGGTACAGCTATTGAAGGCTTCACGAACTACATGGTCAAAATAGATGTTAAATAATGTGGGAGCCAGAGGACATCCCTGTCGCACCCCAAGGTGTACAGGGAATGGCTCTGACTCCCGGCCACGTAGTTTTACCCGGGCCCGCTCACCATCATGAAGGTCCTTAATGATCGTGAGCAGAGGGTCAGGTACTCCAAAAGCACGAAGAACGACCCAGAGCCCAGGCCTACTGATGGTATCATAGGCCTTGACCAGGTCAATAAAGCAGAGATGTAGGTCTTGTTGGAATTCCCTACACCTCTGCTGTAGCAGACGGACAGAAAATATGGCATCTGTGCAGGACCGCCCTTTCCTGAAACCACATTGGGGCTCCGCAAGCCTCTCCTCAGCGTGCCTGGCAAGGCGATGCTGAATAATCCTTGCCAGGACCTTTCCCGGCACACTGAGGAGTGAGATGCCCCTGTAGTTGTTACAGTCTGTGCGGTCCCCCTTTTTAAGAAGGGGGACCGCCAGGGCATCCTTCCAATCCTGCGGAACCCGTCCAGTGGTCCAGACTGTTGTTATGATGTCATATAGGGCAGTCTGTGCACAAACGCCACCCTCCCTCAGCATTTCGCTTGGGAGATCATCTCTGCCCGCTGCCTTTCCTGGTCTCAGACTCCGTATCGCCTTCAATACTTCCTCAGCAGATGGCACCTCAGCCAGCCACTCACAGGGGGTGACTTCATCCAATATTTGAGGCACCGCAGCCTCAGCAGGGTCATCCTCACTTTGTGCCACGATGTTTTCCTGGCTGAGGGATTTTCCCTCCCCCAGGACCTCACAGAAATGCTCAGCAAATCTGCGAACCTGTTCCTGGGGGTCGGAAATTGGATCACACACATATATACAAAGACACACACACACAGATACATACACAGAGATACACACACAGAGATACATACACACAGAGATACATAGACACAGGTACACACACAGATACACACACACACAGATACACACACAGATACACACACAGATACACACAGATACATACACACACAGATACACACACACAGATACACACACAGAGACACACACAGAGGCACGCACAGAGATATACACAGAGATACACACACACAGATATACACACAGAGATAGAGAGTTATAGAGAAAGTGGTGAGCGTGTGAGTGGTGAGCGTGTGAGTGGTGAGTGTGGTGAGTGGTGAGCGTGGTGAGCGTGTGAGTGGTGAGCATGTGAGTGGTGAGTGTGGTGAGTGGTGAGCGTGTGAGTGGTGAGTGTGGTGAGCGTGGTGAGCGTGTGAGTGGTGAGCATGTGAGTGGTGAGTGTGGTGAGTGGTGAGCGTGTGAGTGGTGAGCGTGTGAGTGGTGAATGGTGAGCGTGTGAGTGGTGAGCATGTGAGTGGTGAGCGTGTGAGTAGTGAGTGGTGAGTGTGGTGAGCGTGGTGAGCATGTGAGTGGTGAGCGTGTGAGTGGTGTGTGAGTGGTGAGCGTGTGAATGGTGAGTGGTGAGCGTGTGAGTGGTGAGTGGTGAGCGTGTGAGTGGTGAGCGTGTGAGTGGTGAGTGTGGTGAGCGGTGAGCGTGTGAGTGGTGAGCGTGTGAGTGGTGAGCGTGTGAGTGGTGAGTGGTGAGCGTGTGAGTGGGTGAGCGTGTGAGTGGTGAGCGTGTGAGTGGTGAGTGTGTGAGTGGTGAGTGTGTGAGTGGTGAGTGTGGTGAGTGGTGAGCGTGTGAGTGGGTGAGTGTGTGAGTGGTGAGCGTGTGAGTGGTGAGCGTGTGAGTGGTGAGCGTGTGAGTGGTGAGTGGTGAGTGTGTGAGTGGTGAGTGTGTGAGTGGTGAGTGATGAGTGTGTGAGTGGTGAGTGTGTGAGTGGTGAGCGTGTGAGTGGTGTGTGTGGTGAGCGGTGAGTGTGTGAGTGGTGAGTGTGTGAGTGGTGAGCGTGTGAGTGGTGAGTGTGGTGAGCGGTGAGCGTGTGAGTGGTGAGTGGTGAGCGTGTGAGTGGGTGAGCGTGTGAGTGGTGAGCGTGTGAGTGGTGAGCGTGTGAGTGGTGTGTGTGGTGAGCGGTGAGTGTGTGAGTGGTGAGTGTGGTGAGTGGTGAGCGTGTGAGTGGTGAGTGTGGTGAGTGGTGAGTGTGGTGAGCGTGGTGAGCGTGTGAGTGGTGAGCGTGTGAGTGGTGAGCGTGTGAGTGGTGTGTGAGTGGTGAGCCTGTGAGTGGTGAGTGGTGAGCGTGTGAGTGGTGAGCGTGTGAGTGGTGAGTGTGGTGAGCGGTGAGCGTGTGAGTGGTGAGTGTGGTGAGTGGTGAGCGTGTGATTGGTGAGTGGTGAGTGTGTGAGTGGGTGAGCGTGAGAGTGGTGAGCGTGTGAGTGTGTGAGTCTGTGAGTGGTGAGCGTGTGAGTGGTGAGTGGGTGAGCGTGAGCGTGGTGAGCGTGGTGAGCGTGGCGAGTGTGGTGAGTGTGGTGAGCGTGTGAGGGGGTGAGAGTGGTGAGTGTGAGCGTGGTGAGCGTGGCGAGCGTGTGAGTGGTGAGTGTGTGAGTGGTGAGCGTGTGAGTGGTGAGTGTGTGAGTGGTGTCTGAGTGGGTGAGCGTGTGAGTGGTGAGCGTGTGAGTGGTGAGCGTGTGAGTGGTGAGCGTGTGAGTGGTGAGTGTGTGAGTGGTGAGCGTGTGAGTGGGTAAGCGTGTGAGTGGTGAGCGTGTGAGTAGGTGAGCGTGGTGAGCGTGTGAGTGGTGAGGGTGTGAGTGGGTGAGCGTGTGAGTGGTGAGCGTGTGAGTGGGTGAGTGTGTGAGTGGTGAGCGTGTGAGTGGTGTGTGAGTGGTGAGTGTGTGAGTGGTGAGTGTGTGAGTGGTGTGTGAGTGGTGAGTGTGTGAGTGGTGTGTGAGTGGTGAGTGTGTGAGTGGTGAGTGTGTGAGTGGTGAGCGTGGTGAGTGTGAGCGTGGTGAGCGTGGTGAGCGTGTGAGTGGTGAGGGTGTGAGTGGTGAGCGTGTGAGTGGTGAGTGGTGAGTGTGTGAGTGGTGAGTGTGTGAGTGGTGAGCGTGGTGAGCGTGTGAGTGGTGAGTGTGTGAGTGGGTGAGCGTGTGAGTGGTGAGCGTGTGAGTGGGTGAGTGTGTGAGTGGTGAGCATGTGAGTGGTGAGCGTGTGAGTAGTGAGTGTGTGAGTGGTGAGTGTGTGAGTGGTGAGTGTGTGAGTGGTGAGCGTGTGAGTGGTGTGTGAGTGGTGAGCGTGGTGAGCGTGGTGAGTGGTGAGCGTGTGAGTGGGTGAGCGTGTGAGTGTGAGCGTGGTGAGCGTGAGCGTGGTGAGCGTGGTGAGCGTGTGAGTGGTGAGGGTGTGAGTGGTGAGGGTGTGAGTGGTGAGCGTGGTGAGCGTGGTGAGCGTGGTGAGCGTGGTGAGCGTGGTGAGTGGTGAGGGTGTGAGTGGTGAGCGTGGTGAGTGTGGCGAGCGTGGTGAGCGTGTGAGTGTGAGCGTGGTGAGTGTGTGAGTGGGTGAGTGTGTGAGTGGTGAGTGGTGAGCGTGGTGAGCGTGGTGAGCGTGTGAGTGGTGAGCGTGGTGAGCGTGGTGAGCGTGGTGAGCGTGTGAGTGGTGAGTGTGAGCGTGGTGAGCGTGGTGAGCGTGGTGAGCGTGTGAGTGGTGAGTGGTGAGCGTGGTGAGCGTGTGAGTGGTGAGTGGTGAGCGTGGTGAGCGTGTGAGTGGTGAGCGTGGTGAGCGTGGTGAGTGTGTGAGTGGTGAGCGTGGTGAGTGGTGAGTGGTGAGCGTGGTGAGCGTGTGAGTGGTGAGTGGTGAGTGTGTGAGTGGTGAGTGTGTGAGTGGTGAGTGATGAGTGTGTGAGTGGTGAGTGTGTGAGTGGTGAGCGTGTGAGTGGTGTGTGTGGTGAGCGGTGAGTGTGTGAGTGGTGAGTGTGTGAGTGGTGAGCGTGTGAGTGGTGAGTGTGGTGAGCGGTGAGCGTGTGAGTGGTGAGTGGTGAGCGTGTGAGTGGGTGAGCGTGTGAGTGGTGAGCGTGTGAGTGGTGAGCGTGTGAGTGGTGTGTGTGGTGAGCGGTGAGTGTGTGAGTGGTGAGTGTGGTGAGTGGTGAGCGTGTGAGTGGTGAGTGTGGTGAGTGGTGAGTGTGGTGAGCGTGGTGAGCGTGTGAGTGGTGAGCGTGTGAGTGGTGAGCGTGTGAGTGGTGTGTGAGTGGTGAGCCTGTGAGTGGTGAGTGGTGAGCGTGTGAGTGGTGAGCGTGTGAGTGGTGAGTGTGGTGAGCGGTGAGCGTGTGAGTGGTGAGTGTGGTGAGTGGTGAGCGTGTGATTGGTGAGTGGTGAGTGTGTGAGTGGGTGAGCGTGAGAGTGGTGAGCGTGTGAGTGTGTGAGTCTGTGAGTGGTGAGCGTGTGAGTGGTGAGTGGGTGAGCGTGAGCGTGGTGAGCGTGGTGAGCGTGGCGAGTGTGGTGAGTGTGGTGAGCGTGTGAGGGGGTGAGAGTGGTGAGTGTGAGCGTGGTGAGCGTGGCGAGCGTGTGAGTGGTGAGTGTGTGAGTGGTGAGCGTGTGAGTGGTGAGTGTGTGAGTGGTGAGCGTGTGAGTGGGTAAGCGTGTGAGTGGTGAGCGTGTGAGTAGGTGAGCGTGGTGAGCGTGTGAGTGGTGAGGGTGTGAGTGGGTGAGCGTGTGAGTGGTGAGCGTGTGAGTGTGTGAGTGTGTGAGTGGTGAGCGTGTGAGTGGTGTGTGAGTGGTGAGTGTGTGAGTGGTGAGTGTGTGAGTGGTGAGTGAGTGGTGAGTGTGTGAGTGGTGTGTGAGTGGTGAGTGTGTGAGTGGTGAGTGTGTGAGTGGTGAGCGTGGTGAGTGTGAGCGTGGTGAGCGTGGTGAGCGTGTGAGTGGTGAGGGTGTGAGTGGTGAGCGTGTGAGTGGTGAGTGGTGAGTGTGTGAGTGGTGAGTGTGTGAGTGGTGAGCGTGGTGAGCGTGTGAGTGGTGAGTGTGTGAGTGGGTGAGCGTGTGAGTGGTGAGCGTGTGAGTGGGTGAGTGTGTGAGTGGTGAGCATGTGAGTGGTGAGCGTGTGAGTAGTGAGTGTGTGAGTGGTGAGTGTGTGAGTGGTGAGTGTGTGAGTGGTGAGCGTGTGAGTGGTGTGTGAGTGGTGAGCGTGGTGAGCGTGGTGAGTGGTGAGCGTGTGAGTGGGTGAGCGTGTGAGTGTGAGCGTGGTGAGCGTGAGCGTGGTGAGCGTGGTGAGCGTGTGAGTGGTGAGGGTGTGAGTGGTGAGCGTGTGAGTGGTGAGCGTGGTGAGCGTGGTGAGTGGTGAGGGTGTGAGTGGTGAGCGTGGTGAGCGTGGTGAGCGTGGTGAGCGTGGTGAGCGTGGTGAGTGAGTGGTGAGCGTGGTGAGTGGTGAGGGTGTGAGTGGTGAGCGTGGTGAGTGTGGCGAGCGTGGTGAGCGTGTGAGTGTGAGCGTGGTGAGTGTGTGAGTGGGTGAGTGTGTGAGTGGTGAGTGGTGAGCGTGGTGAGCGTGGTGAGCGTGTGAGTGGTGAGCGTGGTGAGCGTGGTGAGCGTGGTGAGCGTGTGAGTGGTGAGAGTGAGCGTGGTGAGCGTGGTGAGAGTGGTGAGCGTGTGAGTGGTGAGTGGTGAGCGTGGTGAGCGTGTGAGTGGTGAGTGGTGAGCGTGGTGAGCGTGTGAGTGGTGAGCGTGGTGAGCGTGGTGAGTGTGTGAGTGGTGAGCGTGGTGAGTGGTGAGTGGTGAGCGTGGTGAGCGTGTGAGTGGTGAGCGTGGTGAGCGTGGTGAGTGTGTGAGTGGTGAGCGTGGTGAGTGGTGAGTGGTGAGCGTGGTGAGCGTGTGAGTGGTGAGCGTAGTGAGCGTGGTGAGTGTGTGAGTGGTGAGCGTGGTGAGCGTGTGAGTGGTGAGCGTGGTGAGTGGTGAGTGGTGAGCGTGGTGAGTGTGTGAGTGGTGAGGTTGGTGAGTGGTGAGTGGTGTGAGTGGTGAGCGTGTGAGTGGTGAGTGTGGTGAGCGTGGTGAGCGTGGTGAGCGTGGTGAGCGTGTGAGTGGTGAGCGTGGTGAGCGTGGTGAGCGTGGTGAGCGTGGTGAGCGTGGTGAGTGGTGAGCGTGGTGAGCGTGGTGAGCGTGGTGAGCGTGGTACCCGTGACGACGGAGCGCACCGACCGACTGAAGCCCACAAACTCACACTCCTCGCCCTTCTTGATGACGCCACGCTCCAGAGTCCCCGTCACCACCGTGCCACGTCCTGCGTCACACACACAGCGTCACACACACACAGTGTCACACACACACAGCGTCACACACACACACAGTGTCACACACAGTGTCACACACAGTGTCACACACACACACACAGCGTCACACACACACAGCGTCACACACACAGCGTCACACACACACAGTGTCACACAGTGTCACACACACACAGCGTCACACACAGCGTCACACACACACAGCGTCACACACACAGTGTCACACACAGTGTCACACACAGTGTCACACACACACACAGTGTCACACACACACACACAGTGTCACACACACAGTGTCACACACACAGTGTCACACACACACAGCGTCACACACACACAGCGTCACACACACACAGCGTCACACACACAGTGTCACACACAGTGTCACACACACACACACAGTGTCACACACACACACACAGTGTCACACACACAGTGTCACACACACAGTGTCACACACACACAGCGTCACACACACACAGCGTCACACACACACAGCGTCACACACACAGTGTCACACACAGTGTCACACACAGTGTCACACACACACACAGTGTCACACACACACACACAGTGTCACACACACAGTGTCACACACACAGTGTCACACACACACAGCGTCACACACACACAGCGTCACACACACAGTGTCACACACACAGCGTCACACACACACAGCGTCACACACACACAGCGTCACACACACACAGCGTCACACACACAGTGTCACACACAGTGTCACACACACACAGCATCACACACAGTGTCACACACAGTGTCACACAGTGTCACACACACACAGCATCACACACAGTGTCACACACAGTGTCACACACAGTGTCACACACACACAGCGTCACACACAGCGTCACACACAGTGTCACACACACACAGCGTCACACACAGTGTCACACACAGTGTCACACACACACAGCGTCACACACAGCGTCACACACAGTGTCTCACACACACACACAGCGTCACACACACAGTATCACACACAGTGTCACACACACAGTGTCACACACACAGCGTCACACAAAGTGTCACACACACAGCGTCACACACAGTGTCACACACAGTGTCACACACACACAGCGTCACACACACACAGCGTCACACACACACAGCGTCACACACAGTGTCACACACACAGCGTCACACACACACACAGCATCACACACACAGCGTCACACACACAGCGTCACACACAGCGTCACACACACAGCGTCACACACAGTGTCACACACAGTGTCACACACACACAGCGTCACACACAGTGTCACACACACACAGCATCACACACAGTGTCACACACAGTGTCACACACAGTGTCACACACACAGCGTCACACACAGCGTCACACACAGTGTCACACACACAGCGTCACACACACAGCGTCTCACACACAGCGTCTCACACACACACACAGCGTCACACACAGCGTCACACACACAGTGTCACACACACAGCGTCTCACACACACACAGTGTCACACACACACAGCGTCACACACAGTGTCACACACACACAGCGTCACACACACAGCGTCACACACAGTGTCACACACACAGCGTCACACACACACACAGCGTCTCACACACACACAGTGTCACACACACACAGCGTCACACACAGTGTCACACACACAGTGTCACACACACACAGCGTCACACACACACACAGCGTCACACACAGCATCACACACACACAGTGTCACACACAGTGTCACACACACAGTGTCACCACCGTGCCACGTCCTACGTCACACACACAGCGTCATACACACACAGAGTCACACACACACAGCGTCACACACACACAGCGTCACACACACACAGTGTCACACACACACACAGCGTCACACACAGTGTCACACACAGTGTCACACACACACAGTGTCTCACACACAGTGTCACACACACAGCGTCACACACAGCGTCACACACACACACAGCGTCACACACAGTGTCACACACACAGCGTCACACACACAGCGTCACACACAGTGTCACACACAGTGTCACACACACACAGTGTCACACACACAGCGTCACACACACAGCATCACACACACACAGAGTCACACACACACAGCGTCACACACAGTGTCACACACACAAAGTGTCACACACAGTGTCACACACAGCGTCACACACAGTGTCACACACAGTGTCACACACACACAGCGTCACACACAGCGTCACACACAGTGTCACACACAGCGTCACCACCGTGCCACGTCCTGCGTCACACACACAGTGTCACACACAGTGTCACACACACACACAGCGTCACACACAGTGTCACACACACAGCGTCACACACAGTGTCACACACACAGTGTCACACACACAGTGTCACACACACAGCGTCACACACACACACACAGCGTCACACACAGTGTCACACGCAGTGTCACACACAGTGTCACACACAGCGTCACACACAGAGTCACACACAGCGTCACACACACAGCGTCACACACACAGCGTCACACACACACACACAGCGTCACACACAGTGTCACACGCAGTGTCACACACAGTGTCACACACACAGCGCCACACACAGTGTCACACACACAGCGTCACACACACACAGCGTCACACACAGCATCACACACACACAGTTTCACACACACAGCGCCACACACACACAGCGAAACACACACACACACAGCGTCACACACACAGTGTCACACACAGTGTCACACACACAGCGTCACACACAGCGAAACACACACACACAGCGTCACACAAAGTGTCACACACAGTCACACACACACAGCGCCACACACACACAGCGTCACACACACAGTCACACACACAGCGTCACACACAGTGTCACACACACAGCGCCACACACACACAGCGAAACACACACAGCGTCACACACAGCGTCACACACAGTGTCACACACACAGCGTCACACAAAGTGTCACACACAGTGTCACACACACAGCGTCACACACACAAACACACACAGCATCACACACACAGCGTCACACACACAGCGTCACACACAGTGTCACACACAGCGCCACACACACACAGCGAAACACACACACACACAGCGTTACACACAGCGTCACACACAGTGTCACACACACAGCGCCACACACACACAGCGTCACACACACACACAGTGTCACACACAGCGTCACACACACACAGCGTCACACACACACAGCGTCACACACACACAGCGTCACACACAGTGTCACACACACAGCGTCACACACACACAGCGAAACACACAGCGTCACACACACAGCGTCACACACACAGCGAAACACACACAGCGTCACACAAAGTGTCACACACACAGCGCCACACACACAGCGTCACACACACAGCGTCACACAAAGTGTCACACACACGTCACACACACACACAGCGAAACACACACACACAGCGTCACACACACACAGCGTCACACACAACAACAACAACCGCCATTCGCCACTAAGTGGTGGTGACGTCACCACGACGCTTGTGCCAGGCTATGTGCACCCTGAGGCCACGTGAAGTGTCGAACGCCCGCTGGCAGGAGGTCACGGGGCAGACCCAGCAGGTGCCACGGGTCGACTGACTGAGACGACTGAGATGACTGGCTGATGCACCACCTGTGCCCCCTACTGTGCCAACCTGCTGTGCTTTAGCCACCCGGCGCTTCGCTCGTTGTTGTGAGCGTCGCTCCTCCGCCCTCCGTTGTTGTTGGAGGGCGACTGCCTCCAACTGCCCAGTAGCATCCTTCACGAGCCTCCTCCACAGAGGCCGATCTTGACACCGCTGGTATCAGTCATCGGCAAGTCCACTCAGCTCCACGTCCTCCTGTACCATATCACTCCATCTCTTCTCTAGCCCGTGCCGCGCCCGCTTAGCCCCCTCAATCTGGCCGAACAAAAGCTGTTTCGGCATGCGGTGGCTGGGCATGCGGGCTACATGACCCAGCCATCGCAGCCTTGCCGCCGGAGGAGCTCACCGATCGGACCTTTGTGAGCTCCTCACACAATCCAGTCTGGTTAAACCCAGGATGGATCGTAGGCAGGCTAGCCTAAATGTTTCTAACCGGCGAAGATGTTCCATTAGGGGGGTCCACGTTTCACAAGCGTAGAGAAGGGAGGGAATGACCGTGGCCGAGAAGACCTGAAGCTTAGTGCGGAGCGACAGACCAAGTAGCTTCCACACAGCGTTACGCAACCGATGAAAAGATATTGCCGCTCGACTGATTCGGAGTGAGACCTCTGCTGTAAAACTGGAGCCGGTCATAAGCACACTGCCCATGTATGGGAAACTCTCTACTCTCTCAACAACTGCCCCATCACCGATTGGGAGTTGTGGGGGTGGAGTGTCCGATGGTACAAAATACCCAGGCAGGTACTTAGTTTTGGTGGGGCTGATGGTAAGGCCCCACCTCTTAGTGGCACGCTCCAGTCTCAGCAGTAGCGTCTACAACTCCTCCTCTGAATGAGCAGCTATTACCAAATCATCGGCATACATAACATGGTTGAGCAATAGGGAGCCATGCCTTGACCGCACCCGGGCATCGATCAGCCTCCTATTATATCTGTACCATATGGAGATTCCCCCGGTACAGCTATTGAAGGCTTCACGAACTACGTGGTCAAAATAGATGTTAAATAATGTGGGAGCCAGAGGACATCCCTGTCGCACCCCAAGTGTACAGGGAATGGCTCTGACTCCCGGCCACCTAGTTTTACCCGGGCCCGCTCACCATCATGAAGGTCCTTAATGATCGTGAGCAGAGGGTCAGGTACTCCAAAAGCACGAAGAACGACCCAGAGCCCAGGCCTACTGATGGTATCATAGGCCTTGACCAGGTCAATAAAGCAGAGATGTAGGTCTTGTTGGAATTCCCTACACCTCTGCTGTAGCAGACGGACAGAAAATATGGCATCTGTGCAGGACCGCCTTTCCTGAAACTGCATTGGGGCTCCGCAAGCCTCTCCTCAGCGTGCCTGGCAAGGCAATGCTGAATAATCCGTGCCAGGACCTTTCCCGGCACACTGAGGAGTGAGATGCCCCTGTAGTTGTTACAGTCTGTGCGGTCCCCCTTCTTAAAAAGGGGGACCACCAGGGCATCCTTCCAATCCTGCGGAACCCGTCCAGTGGTCCAGACTGTTGTTATGATGTCATATAGGGCAGTCTGTGCACAAACGCCACCCTCCCTCAGCATTTCGCTTGGGAGATCATCTCTGCCCACTGCCTTTCCTGGTCTCAGACTCCGGATCGCCTTCAGTACTTCCTCAACAGATGGCACCTCAGCCAGCCACTCACAGGGGGTGACTTCTTCCAATATTTGAGGCACCGCAGCCTCAGCAGGGTCATCCTCACTTTGTGCCACGATGTTTTCCTGGCTGAGGGATTTCCCCTCCCCCAGGACCTCACAGAAATGCTCAGCAAATCTGCAAACCTATTCCTGGGGTTGGAGATTGGATCACCGTTTTTTCCCCTAATGATGGTTACTTTTTGATGGAGTTATAAAGGGATTTGTGATCGCGGCCCATTGAGGCATCTCATCAGCAACCCGCGACCACCACCCATCCTTGCAGCGCCTCACGGCTCTCCGAACCTCCGAGCGAAGGTTGCGGTAAGCCTCCTCATTCTCCGACGTGGGATGCTGTAGCCGATGACAGTGGGCCTGTCGCTTTTTCTCAACCATCCTCTGTCAGCCAGGGTCTCTGGGGAGGTCTGGACCGCGTACCCAAAGCACCCATTGCAGCTGCATGAGTCACAGTCCTAAACCTCGCCCATTTACCCTCGACATCAGGAGGAGTGGGGGACGATGCCAACCCCAGCCGCAAGCGAAGATGAAATTCTCGCTTGCAACTGTCATCAGCTGAGACCAGGCCACATTAGGTTGGAATGGGGTCCTGGGTGTACACCCACCACCGGAGTGGAAGAATGGCAGGTGCATCTTACAGATGACTAGTCGATGGTCAGAGGGCAGATGAGCTCCACAGCAAGTCCTGGTGTCAAGGACATGGGCTCGCATCCGCTGGTCCGTCACTATGTAGTCCAGCAGATGTTCTTGCTTGGACCCGGCATGCATCCATGTTGTTGTGTGGATGCGCCGATGCCGGAACAGCGTGTTGGTAATTACAAGCCCATGGGCTGCACAAAAATCTAGCAGCCTCCTACCGTTGTTATTGAGCTGATCTGTCCCATGCCTTCCAATCACTCCAGACCAGGTGCCAGCATCATGACCAACTCTGGCATTGAAGTCACCCAACAAGATGACTCTAATCTGAGGGGCCACTTTAGCCAGCACCTGTGACAGGAGGTCACAGAAGGCATCTGACTCATCGGCCTTGCCTGCATCCCTCCACGGATGTTCGTCTTCGGTGGGGGCATAAGTAACCACGACCAACACTCCTCGCCTCCGGTTGATGGGAAGGCGAGCCCAAAGTAGCCTAGGGCTTACAGCTTCCCACACCTCACCGCCACGCTCCCACGCCCCCTTCATTCTTTTGTTCAAAAGAAGAGCCACACCCTGTTGTTGGGCAGTCTGCTGCCCCGAGTAGAGGGACTAGTCCACCACTCACGGTGGCAGGAGCCAGAGCCAGGTCCCACCGGACCCTCCTGAACGCCGCGGATATCCGGGCGGTACCGGCCCAGCTCCCGACGGAGGAACGGGCAGCCTCTCCAGTCTCCTGCCCCGAGTAGAGGGGACTAGTCCACCCCTCACGGTGGCAGGAGCGGCCGACTGCGGTTGTGCCAATGACCCCCGCCCGCGGCAAATGCTGCCCACCACCGGCTGCCCAGTCACCGGCCGTGCCCCGTCACTGCGTGCACGCGGCTGGGCCATCGCCGCGGTTACCGTGTGCGGTCGCCGTGGTTACCGGGGATGGAGTGGATGGTCTCCACGGGCAACAGGAAGGGGAGGTCCAGGCTGCGTGTGGGCAGGGGGATGAACGAATCAACGGCGTCGAGGAGCCTCAGCACAGCGTCGCGACCAATCTCCGCACTCCGGTCCTGGAGATACAGAGAGATACACAGAGATATATAGAGATACAAAGAGATACAGAGAGATACACAGAGATACGTATAGATACACAGAGATACACAGAGATATATAGAGATACACAGAGATAGATACACAGAGAAACACAGAGATACATAGAGATACACAGAGATAGATACACAGAGATACACAGAGACACACAGAGATACATAGAGATGTATAGAGATAGATAGAGATACACAGAGATACATAGAGATGCATAGAGATATATATAGAGATACACAGAGATAGATATATAGAGATACACAGAGATACATAGAGAAACACAGAGATACATAGAGATGTATAGAGATACACAGAGATACACAGAGATATATAGAGATACAAAGAGATACAGAGAGATACACAGAGATATGTATAGATACACAGAGAAACACAGAGATACATAGAGATACACAGAGATACACAGAGACACACAGATATATATAGAGATACAAAGAGATACAGAGAGATACACAGAGATACATTGATACATAGAGACTCATAGAGATACACAGAGACTCATAGAGATACACATAGATACAAATATACACAGAGATAGACAGAGATAATATAGATATACAGAGGTACACAGAGATACGCAGAGATACATAGATACATAGAGATACACAGACATACATAGAGATACATAGAGATATGAGGCTCCACATCTCTGTGAGTGTCCATGAGTCTCTATACCTCTGTGTGTGTCCATGAGACTCTACATCTCTGTGAGTGTCCATGAGTCTCTACATCTCTGTGAGTGTCCATGAGTCTCTACATCTCTGTGTGTGTCCATGAGTCTCTACATCTCTGTGTGTGTCCATGAGTCTCTACATCTCTGTGAGTGTCCATGAGTCTCTACATCTCTGTGTGTGTCCATGAGTCTCTACATCTCTGTGAGTGTCCATGAGTCTCTACATCTCTGTGTGTGTCCATGAGTCTCTACATCTCTGTGTGTGTCCATGAGTCTCTACATCTCTGTGTGTGTCCATGAGTCTCTACATCTCTGTGAGTGTCCATGAGTCTCTACATCTCTGTGTGTGTCCATGAGTCTCTACATCTCTGTGAGTGTCCATGAGTCTCTACATCTCTGTGTGTGTCCATGAGTCTCTCTACATCTCTGTGTGTGTCCATGAGACTCCACATCTCTGTGAGTGTCCTTGAGGCTCTACATCTCTGTGTGTGTCCATGAGACTCCACATCTCTGTGTCTGTCCATGAGTCTCTACATCTCTGTGAGTGTCCATGAGTCTCCACATCTATGTGTCTGTCCATGAGTCTCTACATCTCTGTGAGTGTCCATGAGTCTCCACATCTCTGTGAGTGTCCATGAGTCTCCACATCTCTGTGAGTGTCCTTGAGGCTCTACATCTCTGTGTGTGTCCATGAGTCTCTACACCTCTGTGTGTGTCCATGAGTCTCTACATGTCTGTGAGTGTCCATGAGTCTCTACATCTCTGTGTGTGTCCATGAGTCTCTACATCTCTGTGTGTGTCCATGAGGCCCCACATCTCTGTGTGTGTCCATGAGTCTCTACACCTCTGTGTGTGTCCATGAGTCTCTATACATCTCTGTGTGTGTCCATGAGTCTCTACATCTCTGTGTGTGTCCATGAGTCTCTACATCTCTGTGTGTGTCCATGAGGCCCCACATCTCTGTGAGTGTCCATGAGTCTCTACACCTCTGTGTGTGTCCATGAGTCTCTACATCTCTGTGTGTGTCCATGAGTCTCTACATCTCTGTGTGTGTCCATGAGTCTCTACATCTCTGTGTGTGTCCATGAGTCTCTACATCTCTGTGTGTGTCCATGAGGCCCCACATCTCTGTGTGTGTCCATGAGTCTCTACATCTCTGTGTGTGTCTATGAGTCTCTACACCTCTGTGTGAGTGTCCATGATGCTCTATACATCTCTGTGTGTGTCCATGAGTCTCTATACCTCTGTGTGTGTCCATGAGTCTCTACATCTCTGTGTGTGTCCATGAGTCTCTACATCTCTGTGAGTGTCCATGGGTCTCTACATCTATGTGAGTGTCCATGAGTCTATACATCTCTGTGTGTGTCGATGAGTCTCTATCCATCTATGTGAGTGTCCATGAGTCTCTATACATCTCTGTGAGTGTCCATGAGTCTATACATATATGTGAGTGTCCATGAGTCTCTACATCTCTGTGTGTGTCCATGAGTCTCTACATCTCTGTGTGTGTCTATGAGTCTCTACATCTCTGTGTGTGTCCATGAGGCTCCACATCTCTGTGTGTGTCCATGAGTCTCTACATCTCTGTGTGTGTCCATGAGTCTCTACATCTCTGTGTGTGTCCATGAGTCTCTATACATCTCTGTGTGTGTCCATGAGTCTCTAAATCTCTGTGTGTGTCCATGAGTCTCTCCACATCTCTGTGTGTGTCCATGAGTCTCTACATCTCTGTGTGTGTCCATGAGTCTCTACATCTCTGTGTGTGTCCATGAGTCTCTACCTCTCTGTGAGTGTCCATGAGTCTCTACATCTCTGTGTGTGTCCATGAGTCTCTACATCTCTGTGTGTGTCCATGAGTCTCTACATCTCTGTGAGTGTCCATGAGTCTCTCTACATCTCTGTGTGTGTCCATGAGTCTCTCTACATCTCTGTGTGTGTCCATGAGTCTCTACATCTCTGTGTGAGTGTCCATGAGTCTCTACATCTCTGCGTGTGTCCATGAGTCTCTATACCTCTGTGTGTGTCCATGAGTCTCTACATCTCTGTGTGTGTCCATGAGTCTCCACATCTCTGTGAGTGTCCATGAGTCTCTACATCTCTGTGTGTGTCCATGAGTCTCTATACATCTCTGTGTGTGTCCATGAGTCTCTCCACATCTCTGTGAGTGTCCATGAGTCTCTACATCTCTGTGAGTGTCCATGAGTCTCTACATCTCTGCGTGTGTCCATGAGTCTCTCTACATCTCTGTGAGTGTCCATGAGTCTATACATCTCTGTGTGTGTCCATGAGTCTCTACATCTCTGTGAGTGTCCATGAGTCTCTACATCTCTGTGTGTGTCCATGAGTCTCTCTACATCTCTGTGTGTGTCCATGAGTCTCTACATCTCTGTGTGTGTCCATGAGTCTCTACAACTCTGTGTGTGTCCATGAGTCTCCACATCTCTGTGAGTGTCCATGAGTCTATACATCTCTGTGTGTGTCCATGAGTCTCTCTACATCTCTGTGAGTGTCCATGAGTCTATACATCTCTGTGTGTGTCCATGAGTCTCTACATCTCTGTGTGTGTCCATGAGTCTCTATACCTCTGCGTGTGTCCATGAGTCTCTACATCTATGTGTGTGTCCATGAGTCTCCACATCTCTGTGTGTGTCCATGAGTCTCTCCACATCTCTGTGTGTGTCCATGAGTCTCCACATCTCTGTGTGTGTCCATGAGTCTCTACATCTCTGTGAGTGTCCATGAGTCTCTACATCTCTGTGTGTGTCCATGAGTCTCTACATCTCTGTGTGTGTCCATGAGTCTCTACACCTCTGTGTGAGTGTCCATGATGCTCTATACATCTCTGTGTGTGTCCATGAGTCTCTATACCTCTGTGTGTGTCCATGAGGCTCCACATCTCTGTGTGTGTACATGAGTCTCTACATCTCTGTGTGTGTCCATGAGTCTCTACATCTCTGTGTGAGTGTCCATGAGTCTCCACATCTCTGTGTGTGTCCATGAGTCTCTACATCTCTGTGTGTGTCCATGAGTCTCTATACATCTCTGTGTGTGTCTATGAGTCTCTACATCTCTGTGTGTTCATGAGTCTCTACACCTCTGTGTGAGTGTCCATGATGCTCTATACATCTCTGTGTGTGTCCATGAGTCTCTACATCTGTGTGTGTGTCTATGAGTCTCTATACCTCTGTGTGTGTGTCCATGAGGCTCTATACAACACTCCCCCCACCCCACCCCACCGCCTACCCCGCACCCCTTCCCCTCACCTCCATCGCGCAGAGCGCCGATCCGGCGATCACCGGCGTGCTGTCGCTGTCATAGCCAAACTCCGACAGCAGCTCCCTGATCTCCAGTTCCACGAGCTCCAGCATCTCCTGGTCAACCTGATCGGCCTTGTTCACAAACACGACCACGTGCTCGATGCCGATCTGCACCGGAGGGGCAGAGATGCATGCACGCACGCACGCACAGAGACGGAGGGAGAAACGTCACCTCTCCCGCTCGGTGCCAAGAGATGCGTAGACATGCATGTCAACATTATGGGGGCGCCGCGGTTAAGGCCGAGACGCTAACTGGCCTCGCATTCTTAAGCTCTTTCGGTGAAGTCACCACGTTGAAGGGGAACAGTAAAACAATAACAAGAATATATATGCATGTAAAACAAGAAAAAAAAAAATTCTCACGACGTTTCGACCGTAACGCAAACGGTCATCATCATCAGGCGTTTGCGTTACGGTCGAAACGTCGTGAGAATTTTTTTATTGTTTTATATTTTTATTATTTTATTGTTTCCCTTCTACGTGGTGACTTTACCGAAAGAGCTAAGAATATGAATTACTGCAGTCACGAAAGCTTTAAATCAAAATTCACTTTAAGATGTTTTTTTTTATTCTTAGCTCTTTCGGCAAAGTCACGTTGAAGGGAAACAATAAAATAATAAAATATATATTAAACAATAAAAAAAATTCTCACGACGTTTCGACCGTAACGCAAACAGTCATCATCAGGTGTTTGCATTACGGTCGAAACGTCGTGAGAATTGTTTTTATTGTTTCATATATATTTTATTGTTTTATTGTTTCCCTTCTACGTGGTGGTGACTTTACCGAAAGAGCCAAGAATATGAATCGCTGCAGTCACGAAAAGCTTTAAATCAAAATTCACTTTAAGATGCATTCTTAGCTCTTTCGGTAAAGTCACCACGTTGAAGGGAAACAATAAAACTATAAAATATATCTTCTTTGGTTCTTTCGGTAAAGTCACGTAGAATGAGAATGAAATAATAAATTGATAAAATAAAATAACACAATAATATTCTCACTTTATTATGTTATTTATTTTATCAATTTATTATTTTATTCTCATTCTACGTGGTGACTTTACCGAAAGAACCAAAGAAGATGAATCATTGCAGTCACGAAAGCTTTAAATCGAAATATAAAATATATATAAAAAACAATAAAAAAATTCTCACAACCTTTCGACCGTAACGCAAACGCCTGATGATGATGACCGTTTGCGTTATGGTCGAAACGTCGTGAGAATTTTTTTATAGTTTTATATATTTTTTTCATTATTTTATTGTTTCCCTTCAACGTGGTGACTTTACCGAAAGAGCTAAGAATGCATCTTAAAAGTGAATTTTGATTTAAAGCTTTCGTGACTGCAGCGATTCATATTGTTGGTTCTTTCGGTAAAGTCACCACCACGTAGAAGGGAAACAATAAAACAATGAAATATATGTATAAAACAATAAAAAAAATTGTCACGACGTTTCGACCATAACGCAAACGGTCGTCATCAGGTGTGAAAAAAAACCAACGGCAAGAAATATTTGAAAGCAGTGGCGGTTTGTATTTATGTATTTATAATCGGTGTTTGTATTTATTTTTTAAAAACCGTTGGCACCACGGGCAGCGATTTGGCAGTTTATCTAGAAGGACGAGTCCATCTGTGTTCTGAAAAGAGGAGAGGGGGGGAGACGAAAAATTAATGTACGCTGTCTGAAAGCCACCGTAAGCGTGAACAATCAATTAAGACCTGAAATGGCTTATCAAATCCTTCCAATGATTGCTAAGCCACTGGAAGAGCTAAGAATATGAATTACTGCGGTCACGAAAGCTATAAATCGAAAGTTAACCACCTCGCCTGGTACGCAGGAGGTCGTGGATTCTGTCCCACGGATGCCTGTTGAGTATCTGGCACCAAGTGGAGGCCGGACGAAATCTGAATTTCTGGTTTCGGGCGAAAACGAAACCAAGCCGGAACGGGCCGTTTGCCAACTTTCGACGCCGGAACCGAATTTCGGTCGGCCTCTATCACCAAGGGATGTTAACTCCCCTGGTACGCAGAAGGTCGTGGGTTCGATCCCGACCCCTGACGATGAAGCCTGCTGCTGCTGTATATTTGGAGTCTGCGTCTCTCTCATCATCATCACCATCATCACGGTGGCTAGGAGATGTTGACTACCTCGCATGGTATACAGGAGGTCGTTGGTTCGATCCTGACCCCTGACGATGCCTGCTGCTGCTTCTGCTGTATATTTGAAGTCTGTGTCTCTCTCATCATCACCATCATCATGGTGGCTGGGAGATGTTAACTACCTTGCCTGGTATACAGGAGGTCGTGGGTTCGATCCCGACCCCTGACGATGCCTGCTGCTGCTGTATATTTGGAGTCTGCATCTCTCTCTCATCATCACCATCATCACGGTGGCTAGGAGATGTTAACTACCTCGCCTGGTATACAGGAGGTCGTGGGTTCGATCCTGACCCTGACGATGCCTGCTACTGCTGCTGTATATTTGGAGTCTGCGTCTCTCTCTCTCATCATCACGGTGGCTAGGAGATGTTAACTACCTCGCCTGGTATACAGGAGGTCGTGGGTTCGATCCTGACCCTGACGATGCCTGCTACTGCAGCTATATATTTGAAGTCTGCGTCTCTCTCTCATCACCATCATCACGGTGGCTATGAGATGTTGACTACCTCGCCTGGTCTACAGGAGGTCGTGGGTTCGATCCCGACCCCTGACGATGAAGCCTGCTCCTGCTGTATATTTGGAGTCTGCGTCTCTCTCTCTCATCATCATCATCATCACGGTGGCTAGGAGATGTTGACTACCTCGCCTGGTCTACAGGAGGTCGTGGGTTCGATCCTGACCCTGACGATGCCTGCTGCTGCTGCTGTATATTTGAAGTCTGCGTCTCTCTCTCATCATCACCATCATCACGGTGGCTAGGAGATGTTGACTACCTCGCCTGGTATACAGGAGGTCGTGGGTTCGATCCTGACCCCTGACGATGAAGCCTGCAGCTGCTGCTGTATATTTGGAGTCTGCGTCTCTCTCTCTCTCTCTCTGTCACTCTCTTTCCCCCGTGGTGATTCACTGCGTTTGAGAGTCGACATCACCAAGCGTTCAATTTAGTTGGCTGCTGCTATGAATAACCGCCTGGTGACGGTGACGACGACGATATCGGCCACTTGGTAGAGCTGCCACCATCAAGTTGTGATGTGTGCAGGTCGCACGTCTCAACAAGAAGCGACGCAGCAGCAGCTGCGCATTAGGGCCTGACACCCGGTGAAATTAAAAATAGTTCAGTTTTAGTTTAGATACAAAGACACCCCCCCCCCCCAACCCCCGTAGCCTTAACAGACCGTTGGGGCAAGTACTGTTAGTAGCGAGTCGTAGCGCCTACGAGATACGCACGGGTGAAGATCCCTTGTGTAGCCTCTAGCAAGGGCTGTTGCAGGCTGTACGGGGGACCTTTGTCTTTGCGCGTGTAATCGCGCGTGTGCGCGTGTACGTACGAGTGCGTGCGTGCGTGTCTAAGCAGGTGTGTGTACGTGTGTCTTCGCGCGCGTGTGCGCGTAAAGGTGTCGGTAAGCGTTCGCGTGTGTGCGTGTGTGTGTGTGTGTGTCTGTACGCGTTCAGTCAGTCGACCCGTGGCACCCGCTGGGTCTGCCCCGTGACCTTCCTGCCGGCGGGGCGTTCTCGACACTCCACGTGGTGGCCTCAAGGATGCACGTGGCCTGGCGCAAGCGTCGTGGTGACGTCACCGCCACTCAGTGGCGAATGGCGTTTGTTGTTGTTGTTGTTGTACGTGTTTACGTGCGCGCGTGCGTGTAGGCGCGCGTGCGTGCGTGTCCGTGCCCCACCTGCTTGGCGAGCAGCAGGTGCTCCCGCGTCTGGGGCATCTGCCCGTCGGTGGCGGCGACGACGAGGATGCAGCCGTCCATCTGTGCCGTGCCCGTGATCATGTTCTGCGCGGGGCGGAGCGGAGCGGAGCGGCACGGCGGGGCGGAAACAAACCCCCGGGTGGACACAACGCAAAGCGGAGTGAGCGGAAATTGAGGCGGGGGTGAAAAAAGTAACACAAACGGAGGAGGAGTCTCTACCGGGAGTCTAGGAGTAGTCACTACCGGCAGACTAAGAGTAGTCTCTACCGGGAGTCTAGGAGTAGTCTTCCACCAGGAGTCTAGGAGTAGTCTCTATCAGGAGTCTAGGAGTAGTCTCTACCAGGAGTCTAGGAGTAGTCTCTACCAGGAGTCTAGGAGTAGTCTCTACCAGGAGACTAGGAGTAGTCTCTACCAGGAGTCTAGGAGTAGTCTTCTACCAGGAGTCTAGGAGTAGTCTTCTAGCAGGAGTCTAGGAGTAGTCTTCTACCAGGAGGCTAGGAGTAGTCTTCCACCAGGAGTCTAGGAGTAGTCTTCTAGCAGGAGTCTAGGAGTAATCTCTACCAGGAGTCTAGGAGTAGTCTTCTACCAGGAGTCTAGGAGTAGTCTTCCACCAGGAGTCTAGGAGTAGTCTTCTACCAGGAGTCTAGGAGTAGTCTCTACCAGGAGACTAGGAGTAGTCTTCTAGCAGGAGTCTAGGAGTAGTCTTCTACCAGGAGGCTAGGAGTAGTCTTCCACCAGGAGTCTAGGAGTAGTCTTCTAGCAAGAGTCTAGGAGTAGTCTCTACCAGGAGTCTAGGAGTTGTCTCTACCGGGAGTCTAGGAGTAGTCTTCTACCAGGAGTCTAGGAGTAGTCTCTACCAGGAGTCTAGGAATAGTCTTCTAGCAGGAGTCTAGGAGTAGTCTTCTACCAGGAGGCTAGGAGTAGTCTTCTACCAGGAGTCTAGGAGTAGTCTCTACCAGGAGTCTAGGAGTAGTCTCTACCGGGAGTCTAGGAGTAGTCTTCCACCAGGAGTCTAGGAGTAGTCTTCTAGCAAGAGTCTAGGAGTAGTCTCTACCAGGAGTCTAGGAGTAGTCTCTACCGGGAGTCTAGGAGTAGTCTTCTACCAGGAGTCTAGGAGTAGTCTCTACCAGGAGTCTAGGAGTAGTCTTCTAGCAGGAGTCTAGGAGTAGTCTTCTACCGGGAGTCTAGGAGTAGTCTTCTAGCAGGAGTCTAGGAGTAGTCTTCTACCAGGAGTCTAGGAGTAGTCTTCTACCAGGAGTCTAGGAGTAGTCTTCCACCAGGAGTCTAGGAGTAGTCTTCTACCAGGAGGCTAAGAGTAGTCTTGTACCAGGAGTCTAGGAGTAGTCTTCTACCAGGAGTCTAGGAGTAGTCTCTACCAGGAGACTAGGAGTAGTCTTCTAGCAGGAGTCTAGGAGTAGTCTTCTACCAGGAGGCTAGGAGTAGTCTTCCACCAGGAGTCTAGGAGTAGTCTTCTAGCAAGAGTCTAGGAGTAGTCTCTACCAGGAGTCTAGGAGTAGTCTCTACCGGGAGTCTAGGAGTAGTCTTCTACCAGGAGTCTAGGAGTAGTCTCTACCAGGAGTCTAGGAGTAGTCTTCTAGCAGGAGTCTAGGAGTAGTCTTCTACCAGGAGGCTAGGAGTAGTCTTCTACCAGGAGTCTAGGAGTAGTCTCTACCAGGAGTCTAGGAGTAGTCTCTACCGGGAGTCTAGGAGTAGTCTTCCACCAGGAGTCTAGGAGTAGTCTTCTAGCAAGAGTCTAGGAGTAGTCTCTACCAGGAGTCTAGGAGTAGTCTCTACCGAGAGTCTAGGAGTAGTCTTCTACCAGGAGTCTAGGAGTAGTCTCTACCAGGAGTCTAGGAGTAGTCTTCTAGCAGGAGTCTAGGAGTAGTCTTCTACCGGGAGTCTAGGAGTAGTCTTCTAGCAGGAGTCTAGGAGTAGTCTTCTACCAGGAGTCTAGGAGTAGTCTTCTACCAGGAGTCTAGGAGTAGTCTCTACCAGGCATCTAGGAGTAGTCTATACCAGGAGACTAGGAGTAGTCTTCTACCAGGAGTCTAGGAGTAGTCTTCTACCAGGAGTCTAGGAGTAGTCTCTACCAGGAGTCTAGGAGTAGTCTTCTAGCAGGAGTCTAGGAGTAGTCTTCTACCAGGAGTCTAGGAGTAGTCTTCTAGCAGGAGTCTAGGAGTAGTCTCTACCAGGAGTCTAGGAGTAGTCTCTACCAGGAGACTAGGAGTAGTCTTCTACCAGGAGTCTAGGAGTAGTCTTCTACCAGGAGACTAGGAGTAGTCTCTACCAGGAGTCTAGGAGTAGTCTTCCACCAGGAGTCTAGGAGTAGTCTCTACCAGGAGTCTAGGAGTAGTCTCTACCAGGAGACTAGGAGTAGTCTTCTACCAGGAGTCTAGGAGTAGTCTTCTACCAGGAGACTAGGAGTAGTCTCTACCAGGAGTCTAGGAGTAGTCTTCCACCAGGAGTCTAGGAGTAGTCTTCTACCAGGAGTCTAGGAGTAGTCTCTACCAGGAGTCTAGGAGTAGTCTCTACCAGGAGTCTAGGAGTAGTCTTCTACCAGGAGTCTAGGAGTTGTCTCTACCAGGAGTCTAGGAGTAGTCTCTACCAGGAGTCTAGGAGTAGTCTGTACCAGGAGTCTAGGAGTAGTCTGTACCAGGAGTCTAGGAGTAGTCTTTACCAGGAGTCTAGGAGTAGTCTCTACCAGGAGTCTAGGAGTAGTCTCTACCAGGAGTCTAGGAGTAGTCTCTACTAGGAGTCTAGGAGTAGTCTTCCACCAGGAGTCTAGGAGTAGTCTTCTACCAGGAGTCTAGGAGTAGTCTCTACCAGGAGTCTAGGAGTAGTCTCTACCAGGAGTCTAGGAGTAGTCTTCTACCAGGAGTCTAGGAGTTGTCTCTACCAGGAGTCTAGGAGTAGTCTCTACCAGGAGTCTAGGAGTAGTCTGTACCAGGAGTCTAGGAGTAGTCTGTACCAGGAGTCTAGGAGTAGTCTTTACCAGGAGTCTAGGAGTAGTCTCTACCAGGAGTCTAGGAGTAGTCTCTACCAGGAGTCTAGGAGTAGTCTCTACTAGGAGTCTAGGAGTAGTCTTCCACCAGGAGTCTAGGAGTAGTCTTCCACCAGGAGTCTAGGAGTAGTCTTCTACCAGGAGTCTAGGAGTAGTCTTCCACTAGGAGACTAGGAGTAGTCTCTACCAGGTGTCTAGGAGTAGTCTCTACCAGGAGACTAGGAGTAGTCTTCTAGCAGGAGTCTAGGAGTAGTCTCCACCAGGAGTCTAGGAGTAGTCTCTACTAGGAGTCTAGGAGTAGTCTCTACCGGGAGTCTAGGAGTAGTCACTACCAGGAGTCTAGGAGTAGTCTCTACCAGGAGTCTAGGAGTAGTCTTCTACCAGGAGTCTAGGAGTAGTCTCTACCAGGAGTCTAGGAGTAGTCTCTACCAGGAGTCTAGGAGTAGTCTTCTACTAGGAGTCTAGGAGTAGTCTCTCCCAGGAGTCTAGGAGTAGTCTCTACTAGGAGTCTAGGAGTAGTCTCTACCAGGAGTCTAGGAGTAGTCACTACCAGGAGTCTAGGAGTAGTCTTCTACCAGGAGTCTAGGAGTAGTCTTCTAGCAGGAGTCTAGGAGTAGTCTCTACCAGGAGTCTAGGAGTAGTCTCTACCAGGAGTCTAGGAGTAGTCTCTACCAGGAGTCTAGGAGTAGTCTCTACCAGGAGTCTGGGAGTAGTCTCTACCGGGAGTCTAGGAGTAGTCTCTACCAGGAGTCTAGGAGTAGTCTCTACCGGGAGTCTAGGAGTAGTCTCTACCAGGCATCTAGGAGTAGTCTATACCAGAAGTCCAGGAGCAGTCTCTACCAGGAGTCTAGGAGTAGTCTTCTACCAGGAGTCTAGGAGTAGTCTCTACCAGGAGTCTAGGAGTAGTCTTCCACCAGGAGTCTAGGAGTAGTCTTCTACCAGGAGTCTAGGAGTAGTCTCTACCGGGAGTCTAGGAGTAGTCTCTACCAGGAGTCTAGGAGTAGTCTCTACCGGGAGTTTAGGAGTAGTCTTCTACCAGGAGTCTAGGAGTAGTCTTCTACCAGGAGTCTAGGAGTAGTCTTCTACCAGGAGTCTAGGAGTAGTCTCTACCAGGAGTCTAGGAGTAGTCTCTACCGGGAGTCTAGGAGTAGTCTCTACCAGGAGTCTAGGAGTAGTCTCTACCGGGAGTTTAGGAGTAGTCACTACCAGGAGTCTAGGAGTAGTCTTCTAGCAGGAGTCTAGGAGTAATCTCTACCAGGTGTCTAGGAGTAGTCTCTACCAGGAGACTAGGAGTAGTCTTCTAGCAGGAGTCTAGGAGTAGTCTTCTACCAGGAGTCTAGGAGTAGTCTCTACCAGGAGTCTAGGAGTAGTCTTCCACCAGGAGTCTAGGAGTAGTCTTCTACCAGGAGTCTAGGAGTAGTCTCTACCAGGAGTCTAGGAGTAGTCTTCCACCAGGAGACTAGGAGTAGTCTCTACCAGGTGTCTAGGAGTAGTCTCTACCAGGAGACTAGGAGTAGTCTTCTAGCAGGAGTCTAGGAGTAGTCTGCACCAGGAGTCTAGGAGTAGTCTCTACTAGGAGTCTAGGAGTAGTCTCTACCAGGAGTCTAGGAGTAGTCACTACCAGGAGTCTAGGAGTAGTCTTCTACCAGGAGTCTAGGAGTAGTCTTCTAGCAGGAGTCTAGGAGTAGTCTCTACCAGGAGACTAGGAGTAGTCTTCTAGCAGGAGTCTAGGAGTAGTCTCTACCAGGAGTCTAGGAGTAGTCTCTACCAGGAGTCTAGGAGTAGTCTCTACCAGGAGTCTAGGAGTAGTCTCTACCAGGAGTCTAGGAGTAGTCTCTACCGGGAGTCTAGGAGTAGTCTCTACCAGGAGTCGAGGAGTAGTCTCTACCGGGAGTCTAGGAGTAGTCTCTACCAGGCATCTAGGAGTAGTCTATACCAGAAGTCCAGGAGCAGTCTCTACCAGGAGTCTAGGAGTAGTCTTCTACCAGGAGTGTAGGAGTAGTCTCTACCAGGAGTCTAGGAGTAGTCTTCCACCAGGAGTCTAGGAGTAGTCTTCTACCAGGAGTCTAGGAGTAGTCTCTAC